ACCCGTTATCGAACGTTATCACGGCCCGGGTATGATATAAATGTGATCTATATAGGTTACCTTTACTGGATCAACATGCAGGATATAGTAGACAATATCTACGGTGTAACTTAACACATGTAGCTTCTAGTTCATTGTATTTCAACTGGAAGGTTCTTCCAAATACTTTAATCTTTTTCAGGGGTCAACTCTGACAGTGTTTCAAGTACACATTGAAGACAGATAATGTTCCAACACCCCTGGTACATGTACAACTGACTGTATGGAGTTTAAAAAGGTTAAAGTTGTTGGAACATACGTGTAGGTTGAGTTGTTAAAACACTTACTATTTACATGTACATTGGACCCTAAAAATCATGATGATCTGTCAGCCCCTTCTTGAGTTACATGACATAATGTCTTTCAGAGTGTGGTAAGGGAACACTACAGTCACATTTTCCATGTTGACATGCCTGTTTCCTTGACAGGATGACTGACACAACTGTTACCATGGCAGACATCCTCACCAGTCTGATCCGTCTGTCTGCCATGTTGACATGCCTGTTTCCTTGACTACAGGATGACTGACACAACTGTTACCATGGCGGACATCCTCACCGGTCTGATCCATCTGTCTGCCATGTTGACATGCCTGTTTCCTTGACTACAGGATGACTAACACAACTGTTACCATGGCAGACATTTTCACCAGTCTGATCCGTCTGTCTGCCATGTTGACATGCCTGTTTCCTTGACTACAGGATGACTGACACGACTGTTACTATGGCGGACATCCTCACCAGTCTGATCCATGTCTGCCATGTTGACATGCCTGTTTCCTTGACTACAGGATGACTGATACGACTGTTACCATGGCGGACATCCTCACCAGTCTGATCCGTCTGTCAGAGAAAGCTGCTCACCTGGCTAGAACCATCCGCTCTGAGCATGCTCTGTTTGAGCTTCTGGTGGAGGAAAAGACGGGAACAGCCAAGAACAAACGTTTCCAACAGGACTTTAAAACCCTGGCAGATGTTTTGATACAGGAGATGGTGAAACATAACCTCGGCAAACAGGTGGGCAAATCTTCTAATCCTCTACTGTCCCATGCTTAGGAACAATAACACATTCAAGATGGAATTTTGACATGTACAATGTAAAAAAAAGGCACTAGTACTCCCACAGGAAATTCTTTTATTTGAATGTTTGATAATATTAGGACTGTAACAGCAATATATGTAATTTTATATGTATTATTATGTAATTTACATTTATGGCTAATGGTTACCCAATTATGCAAATAGCTTCCTACTGTGCATAAATGATATGAACTTCAAGATGGTTTGATTCATTACTTGTAAATGGTATGTGTAAGTTTGTGCATTACTATGCATAGATTGTGCAAATGTGGTTTATTTGCATGATTATTAATGAAATGTTAGAATGGAATTCTGCCAAATTATATGAGTGTAGATGTATCTTGAGTAGAGAGGCAAAAAGACCAATTTTATTATTTATTTCCAAAACCAACGAGACAAAACAAAAGAACAAAATTTACAAGAACTTGTCTTGTGGAGGTATGTGATCTCTGAACTCTTGCTTCCTGGTGCCTCTCCAGTTCCCTTCCATCATTGGCCACATCCATGGTGAAGAGGACAACACCTTCACCAACCAGCTGGGAGAGACCATCACAGTGGAGGTGCAGCCCTCCCTGCAGCAGACTTCAGACCTGCTCTGTACTGTACTGGATGGGAATCAACATGCTGCGATGCTATTGGCTGAGGCAGTGCACTGGGAGGTTACCATGGAGACAGACCAGAGATTGACAGCTGCAGCAAATGACATCCCTGTGGAGTCATTAGGAATATGGATTGACCCTATTGGTAAGACTTCAGGAGGGATGGGACAAGGAAAGGCAGGATCATGTAATACATATTCTATCCATAGCAGCATCAGATACTATTTTTTAGATTTTGTACCATTACTTCATGCCCCGGTACACAGTTGTTACTTTTTCTCTGAAACAGTTCTGATGAAAAGAAGCTATTACATGTAGAAGTTGGCAAGTCAAGTCCACTTTTAGCTTTAATTTCACTTTACTACATTCACTTTTATACCATTGAACACTCATTCACTGACACTACATAACATAGTAAAAAGAATTGACATTGTCCAAAACAAGACTTATCAAGCTATCAATGAATCATCTGTGGTCTTCAGAAACTTATAACAGGCTACTAACCAAATAATTAAACCTCAAAAATGAATTTCACTATTTCACTCTAAGAAATTTAATCTTACATGTTAGTAACCCTAAATTTACATTGTACAATTATTAACAAAAATACTGATTAATATTACATTATTGTATGTTACATTGATGTGATTTTGTTATTAGTAAGCACTTCAGTGATCCTGAGTAAGAGTGAAGCATATCACTCAAAACGTCAGGAAATAATTTGTAATTTATCCAGTTGTTCAGTTATTGTTACAGTTACTACTAGAATTTGATTGTCTTTGAATACAAAATTTATGTTGCAGTTGTTGTACATGTATTTTGTTGTGTGCAGTCTTATTCAGACCATTTCTACTTGCTAACATAATTATAGGGTAGAAGGAGGAAGTAATTGTGTATAGGGTGTAAAGTAGTGACCTTCACTCACTGTTACTCTAGACTGCCTGACAACATTAACACTGGCCACTGAACTGATATCTTGTCCTCCCCAGACTCTACAGCAGAGTACATCCGTGGTGCGGAGGATGAGACAGCGACAGACGGTGTGTTTCACCGCGGCCTGCAGTGCTGCACCGTTCTCATTGGTGCTTTTGATCGGCAATCAGGGCTGCCTGTGATGGGAGTCGTCAATCAACCATTTGCCTATAAGGACCAAGAAACTCTGAGGTGAGACCCTGAGTGGGTGCCAGGTGGGGGTCGGGTGCTGAATGGGGCTCTGGTTTGTTTATTTGTTTGTTTATTTGACAAATCTCCATTACATGTACCAAGTACAATGTGTATACATGTAGTACACATTGTACACATTTATGTGTCGGTTACTCTTGCAGATTTAAGTTCTGAGTCATTACTTGAATGTCCAGAGAAAGGCGACAGTTGTCATTGAAAATTTGATCCTGGCTTGTGTACCCTTTGTGTTGGAATAAAGTTATCAATTAGCATTTGATACAACCATCTTATTAAAGATTGACTCTCAATGTTCCATGTTCACAGGTGGAGGAGCAGACACCTGTGGGGCGTGTGCTACAACGGGTATCACTGCCACTCTCTCATGGATGCTGACTCCACTGTTACCATGACAACAGAACAGCCCAACCAATCAGAGGCAGACAGGGTTGCCGTGACAACAGAACAGTCCCACCAATCAGAGTCGGGCAGGGTTCCTTCAGTGGTGCTGAGTGAGAGTGAGTCAGATGACATTAAGTCTCTCCTCAGTAAGGCTGGGTACAGACTATGTTATGCTAATGGTGCAGGGTACAAAATGCTGTGTGTGATAGACAATTTAGTGGACGCCTATGTGCTGACTAAATCATCCACATACAAATGGGACACATGTGGGCCTCATGCCATCCTCAGGGCACTAGGCGGGGGCATGGTGGACCTGGAGGCAACAGTAAAGTTGTTTAAACCAGAGACTGGAGAAGTGGACTTAAAACAGTTGCAAATTAAATACAACCAACCAGATTCAGGTACGACAACATGGGGGAACATGGGAGGGTTGTTAGCGTACAGGTCACCAGGCCATGCTCTTAATGTACCAAAAGCCCTTTGTTCATTACATTAGATTAGGGCATTGCAGTACATGTAAAAGCTGGACTGAAATACATATTTACATTATCCTGAAATCACAGTCAATGAAAAGAGTACAATGTACATGCATGCCTTTGTGTAGTCACCTAGTCTGTTCTAGTTTGGAATTCTTTGTCAACTAGTCTAAAAAGTAATTTCTGTGACACTTTAATGCCAGGAAGGAAAGTTATTAATGGAGATTTTACAATATTTTAGTTTTTCATTTGCAGAAATTTTTAAGCTGTTTATTTTAGACATACAATATTGTCGACTGTTTTAAGTGAATTATGGATTTTTGAAGCATTGTCCCACAAAAGTAAAGGGTCCAGATAAACTGTAAATGGGACCAATGATGTTGGATGATACAATTGCCAGATACTTAATTTAGTACCATAATTGCTATGTTAACCCAAGACTATGAATAACTAGTTAAAATTGACAAACACTGTTTAACGTTGCTCCTTACATGGGATGTACCTTGAACTGAAAGCAGGCTAAAAGTTTCCTCAATGTCATCATACTCTGTATGTTGTTGATGGGCATTATGGCATTACCAGACTGGTTGGAAGCCTTCGTAGCAGGCCTTTCCAGGACTTATAGTTATAAACTTTCTAAAATGTGCATTTTTCTGAAGGCATATGAGTTTTGAGTATTCTCAGGTTCTTGTAGGCAGTTCAGAAGAAAAAAGCAAGTACAATTAGAACTGATATGTCTGAAAAATGCACATGGTAAAAATTAAAATGTGAGCAAAAAATTAAACGAAAATGACTTGTAGAGCCTGCAGCTAACTGGTTGAGGGAAAGCAAGGCCACAGCAAGTAAATTTTATGGATGACATCCTCTGCAGACTCCAGCTCTAATGCGATAGAGCAAAAAAGAAGGTGAGCCAAAAAACAAGACTCCTAAATTTTCAAATAAACCTTGTTAAACAAGAAATGATACCTATATTGTGCCAAGTTTACTGTCAACTATTAAATAAATACCTCCATTTCTCACTGAAACAACTTTGAAAAATAAACTTTCCAATCATTGTACAAAATTTGGTACAGTACATTTCAGGTTTTGATCAAATGGGAACATCACAACCAGCATCACAATAAAAGGAATAAAATACGTCACTGCATCAAAGTTAAAGACAAGAGCCTTGTCTTGTCTTCTCTTCATATTAATCTTTCATCCACGTACTGGCATGGCAACTTTGCCCATTTTCGGCATGTTGACCACTGTCAGAGGACAACAAAATTTCTTGTTTTTTTTTCCAAAATCAGGCGAGAATTAATGCGCACCGATGTCATCCATAATTACTTGCTGTGCCCCAAGAAGGGAAAGACCAAGTCCCTCCCAGACAATGTTCTATATTGAGCCACCAGTTGCCTCCTCACAATTACTTGGTCAAACAGGTTACTGTTATAATGATGATGGACTATCTGTTTTATTATGTACTTAGTATATACTTGCATATAATATATGTATTATGTATTATATATAACAGTTACTATACTGTATTTATCTTTGTATAACAAATATATACTGTTTAGTTACAAATGTATAAGGTCAGCTAGATATCCGCACCTTTCAGTCTTTAATCAATACAGTAAGAGTACTAAGTAACGTTACATGTACATGTAACTCTTGAAAATTCGAAAGTTAGAGTAGGACAGAGTAAGACTACCATTATGATACTATTTTGATATTGATGGGTAATCCGTGTATACTAAGTACATGTATCATAGGAATGTACAAATGTATGGACTTGTCTGTATTGTGTGTAGGGGAAACTGTAGTTTATTGATGTTCAAACTCTTCATGAGATATCAATTAATGGTACTTTTACAATTAACCTTTATCTGTTTATAGTATTTACATAGCTTTTATTGTAAAATCATGCGATAATTGTACGGGCAGTGTCAAAGAAAGTGCAAGTAAAGTACAAAATGTAATAGAGAACATAAAACTAATGTTTGATGCATAATAAAATGATTAACATTCAGTCTTTGTTTACATTTCATTTTATTTATTTGATTAAACGACATCTATATTTTAACATAACATATGCAAATTAGGTCACCGTTTGCATGATTGGTATCTATTGAATCTGATGTTTCACCTACCATTTTTCTACCCCTTATACTAGTGTGTTGGTGGGGTATACAGAAAAGGCATACAACAAACAGGAATGTGGCAAAATTCTCTCTCTTCACTCAAAGCATAAGTTCTGTTATGAAGAAAGTGTAAACTGTAATTTCCGATGCCAAAAATTGGAATTAATAAAATTTTTGACTGTACAACTCCAGTCTTTGTCAAGGAATGAGCGATCCACATGACATAATGGAAGTGGCGGGCTGCTCATTCCTGAAGTTAGAACTTTTAAAAATTTGGGTAAGTCCAATTTCTTGTGCTCGAAATTACAGTTTAAACTTGCTTCATAATGACCTCTACCAGCACAGATGAACTTTCAAGATAACATTAGTAATATTCTTTGCCACCCACTTTTCGACAAATTTTTGCAATCAGTTCACAATTCTGACAATAATACAGTAACTGTGATAAAAAGCTGTAATCTGTTCAATATGTTCAAGGCACTAAATGGAATGTCACCTCCACACATTTCTCAACTATTCACAACATCTGCCAGTACCCACACCCACAACACCCGACCATGGAGGTAGACCATGACCCGACTAAGCACACAGGGGGGGACTCCAGCTACCAAAAGCTCGCTTGCAGTACAAAAGGAGATCGCTTTCTTTTTCCGGTCCTCTGGAACTCACTTCCTCCTCATGTCAGAAATGCAAGTTAGAACACTCAGTGTCTTTAAGACCACATTTTCTTCACTCAGCAGTTAATATGATTTCTTTGATTAATTTTGCTTTTAGACATTGATATGCAAATTCAGTTTCATTATCATTTATATCATGTCATATTTATTTAGTATGTTTTCTGTAATTTATTAGTCTGTTTTCGTTTCTTTCATCATAACTGCCCTTTGATTGTACTTAAGTTACCTTTTATTATGTTATGTTATGTTATGTTATGTTATGTTATGTTATGTTATGTTATGTTATGTTATGTTATGTTATGTTATGTATGACACAGGGAGCTTTGAAAAGCGCCAAAATGGCGATATGCTAACCTGTATAAATAAATAAAAATGAAAAATGAAATAATCATGTCGTGAGGGTATCAATGGAAACAATTTAGTTGTATTTTACAGAAAACTTACTTTTTGATGCACTACACCAGGGGGCAACAATAACCCTACAAAAAGTTGGGTAGACTTTTTTTTCTGGGACCCCCTGTAGCTGCCCGACTATTTACTCCACCACACCCTCCCCCAAGATAGACAGGCCTAATAGCAGAAGACTAGCTGCGTAGACCAGAAGCGTAGAGCTGGGGGTCTACCCGTTCTGATCCTCCGCCTTCACGTACGCCTTGTATGCTTCTTCATCCATTATGTCGTCCAACTCTTCTGGGTTGGACAGCTTCATCTTTAGTATCCAGCCTGGAACGGTGAAACAGGATTCAATGTTAGTTTCAGAAGTTTCACAACAAGTCTACATAGAGTCACCTGGGCATTCTGTTTACATTGGACACTATAAGAATGCTGGACACTGTACAAGACTGCTTCCTGAGAGGGGCGAAAGAGGCTACATTATTTACATCAGAGGCTATCACCATTCACATGGCCGTGGCGGCAGCTAACCGTAAACTAACCGATACCAGTTCCATAGAATGCCAAAATCAATTTCAAAGACAAAAGAAGGAAAAGTGAAGAAATGAAAATGAAGAGTCTGTTATTTTACCATACTCTTTGTGTTAAGTCATTTGTTCAACATTGCTGTATGTTTTGATCTGACCTTCATCATAGGGGGAGGAACTGACGATGCTAGGATCCAATGCCATGTTCACTTCTACACACTCCCCGCTGACAGGGGCGTGCAGGTCACTCGCTGCTATCACACTTTTCATCACGACACACCTGTCTGCAAGGCAAAAAGAACTTCAGGATGGAACATAGCACAAATATCTTTTTTGTTTTTTAAGATCGAGTAAGAGCTGGACTTATCTGAATTTAGACACACTTGCTTGACGGGTGTTAACAAATTGCCATATTTCCTTAAGCTGCCCACAACTTAACTTACCTGAAATCTTAGTACAGACAACAATGTGCAAATCTTCAATTATCATGGAAGTTCATCTGTGTTGTAAGTAACGATGTTAAAACTTTATTCCAACACACCAAGAGTAAATAGGGCGCTCCCGCTATCATTTAATAGAGACATTGGACGATATACCTTTTGTACTACTGTCACTAGTGTCAGTACTGGTAAACTAACTGGCACATGTGATCAATTGTAATCAATATTATGACCATACAATGCAAATCATTTCAGAGGAGGCTCATTTTTATAGGAACAAGGAAACTTCCACCATCTATGTCAAATGGCACAAAAAGACATGTTAGTTTGACTCAGGCCCCCAGTCTGCAGTGTTTATCTTTCTACTCACCTCCTTTGCTTAATTCTGCTCCGACTTCAGGAAGCTCCACAAAGACAAGTTCACCTAGCTTGTCCTGTGAAGCGTAAAAATGCTCAAAATGAATTGTTCAAACAACAATGATAGCATCACTGAATTGACATGATAATGTAATAGCTTACTAGTAGGCAGGACTTGGAATACTTTTCTGCATAGTTGCCCAATTGATGATATGACAAGCTGTTTTGCTACAATTGTTCCAGGTACATACACATCTTCCAGGACAGGTAATACTGTTGAATACAAGAATCAAAGACCTGTGATATCATATTTGTCGCCTCAATTCTCGTTTAACAAGGTTTATGACCTCAAAATTTGAAAATGTTTTGAGGTGTCGGGGCATTTTATGTTCAACATTAATTACATTTCTATGGGTTGAATCTGAAAACAAATAGAGAATGAACTTTTTGGAAGATGTGGTTTGTAACGTTATAGTGGTAACGCTATACTGATGCTGTAACGTTACAAACCACATGTTCCATGTGGAAAAGAACAACTTCATTCTCTATTTGTTGTCAGATTCGGCCCATAGTAATTTAATTAATGTTGAGTATAAAATGCCCCAACATCTCAAAACACGGTGAAAAGCAAGCTATTTAACGTCAACAGGATCATTCCGATGCCTTCCAGCCCTATGCAAATGAGGGTTACCCCCGCGTTTTCGCGTTGCATTCTGGGGATGGGAAACTGGTGGATAGGCAGATACAGCACGAAGGGACTGCCATAAATGTAGCAGGGAGGGGTTGTAGGTAACCTTGATACTTGATACCGGGATGATTATAATTAGGCACCGCCTGTAGTAATCCCGGTCTCTAACTTTACCCAAGTGCTGTTATTTCATACTCTCCCAATGTTTGTCTAACCGTGTCTTAAACTCGTTCACTGTTTTTGAGTCGACTACGGACTGTACATGTGACAGAGTATTCCAGTCACTAAAAACTCTGACACTAAAGGTCTACCTTCTGACCCTTCCTCTGGCTATTAAAGGGGACTTCAGGTTTACAGTTGTGCCATCTTGTAGGTCCTTCAGTGCGTTTTGTGAAGAAGGTTTGGAGCTGGATTCCCTCCAATCATCCAATCCCACAACTGGATCATATCCCCTCTACGTCTCCGGTACTGAAGGGAGGGAAAACCTAAGGCCCCCAG